TCATGGGCACGTAATGGGCGTCAAGCAGTCGATGCCTTTAGGGAACGTCGCAGTGCGAGCAGCGCTATCAGAGCGGAATGGGGCAGCTGCAGCTGCTGCGGCCTTCGCAGCGAGGCGTCGAGTGATTGCGTGATTTGCGCGATTATTCCTTTATACAGGGCTGGACCTATACGGTGTTTTGGCGATTTCGTGGGCTGTTTTCGTTTCGACTTCGTTTTGCGGTACAGGCGAAGTGAAGACAAAACGAGGGAAAACGAAAACAAAACGCAAACGACAAACACCGTTGAGGTTCAGCCCTGCCTTCATATTTTCCACGTACAACGGATCGGAAGGTTGGCGCTTCCTTTCATGTTTGCCGCCACGCCATACGCCGCTCATTCCGCAATCTGGCCATACGTGCCTCAGCGCCTTGCGGGTAGAGCCTGCGTTCTCGGATTCTGGATTGTTGCAATCGAGATCGTCACCGTTCGCATCGACGACCAATTACATTCGATCACAGGCAGAGGCACCAACATCGTCTTCACTGAGTACTTATCGCCATCAGGGGAGGTGTTGGAGTCTTACGTGACATCCACCACTGCGGCAGCTGAGCCACGTGGGTGCAAACGGCGTTTCACTGTAGCGGGTAGCGCCACGGCGCTATGGGTCATGTATTTTCAAGCGGTGTTCACGGAGACATCAGACGGCTAAATGGACAAGTTTTTGTTTCTGCAGGCCAGCCCGCTTTTTGAAGATCTGTCGGGCCAGGCTTGTAATCGTGAGATATCGCCGACCCCTTCTTCTTCCGTTTCCTTTCTTGCGCTGACCTGGGCTACAGAGGTACAATTTGCACCGGCCCCGGTTCACGGCACAGCACTGGCTGACCCGGACGAGCGTCTATTTACGTTTCCTTGAGGTCTAGCGCGGCCTTCCGCTTTCCCCGAGCTGCAGAGCTGCAGCCGCATGGCACGGACATGGCATGGACCGTGGGAAAGGAACTCGTCGGAGGCCCAGAGGGTGACACCAGCACCGATATCGGCGATGTGCCTCCGCCGAGGGAAGATGATCCCGACCTCGGTGATGCTGGCAATCTTCGGGCTTCCAAGGTGGCCGAAAGATTACCACCAACACCAACATCTAGGATCATCTTCCCCTGGTGGAAGCAAACCCCCGTTTTGGTGTTGGTGCCCATGTTCAGGCCTTCCAGAAGCTGCATGGTACGGACATTGCGTCGACCGTGGCAAAGGAAGGCAATGTTGGCGCTGGTCGATCTCTCGCATGTGGGATTACCGCTGTCGGCGTTTGGGAGGATCCAGGTTTTCCAGATGGGGTCCGAGTAGATGGCTTCGGAGGATCGCGCCGCATCGCCGATGCATCGGCGACGCAGCTCGATGTGGAGCAGATTTTTTCCACGCCGACGGCGCGGATGTATCGCTGACGTTGTCGACGCATCGCCGACGCATCGTCGATGCATCGACGATGCATCAACGATGCATCGGCGATGCAGCGCGTTTTCCCGACTCCATCTACTCTGACCCAACATGGGAGGCCTCTATAACAATACGACGTATTCTTTCAACACGCTCTTCTGGAATGCCGTTGTGTAATATATATATATACACATACATATATATATATATACATATATATATATATATATCCGTAAGGGCTTCGCCCCCTGCCGCTGGCCCCCTCTCTCGGAGAATGGGCCCTGGAAGAGCTAAGTCATGAGGCCTTGGCGCTGTCGTGAAGCAGTATCGAAACTTCATGCGAAGCCGATTCGCAATCAGCAAAACCAACTGATCACAAGAGGGGTTACCACACCTGGCGATTGGTAAGACGTGTATGGTTTACGGGCTTGGTTACCACACCTTGCGATTAAAGGGCCGAGGGAGTTCTCGCAGTTTGGGTTACCACGCCTTGCGATGGATGTGCGTGAAGGGTGGCACCGAATTTCAGAAATGTGGCAAATCCCCTGTGTTTTTGGACCCTGACCCCGCGGATCTGCGTAAGGGGTGGCACCGAATTTCAGAAATGTGGCAAATCCGTTGTGTTTTTGGACCCTGACCCCGCGGATCTGCGTGAGGGGTGGCACCGAATTTCAGAAATGTGGCAAATCCCTTGTGTTTTTGACCCTGACCCCGCGGATCTGCGTGAGGGGTGGCACCGAATTTCAGAAATGTGGCAAATCCCTTGTGTTTTTGGACCCTGACCCCGCGGATCTGCGTGAGGGGTGGCACCGAATTTCAGAAATGTGGCAAATCCCTGTGTTTTTGGACCCTGACCCCGCGGATCTGCGTGAGGGGTGGCACCGAATTTCAGAAATGTGGCAAATCCCATGTGTTTTTGGACCCTGACCCCGCGGATCTGCGTGAGGGGTGGCACCGAATTTCAGAAATGTGGCAAATCCCATGTGTTTTTGGACCCTGACCCCGCGGATCTGCGTGAGGGGTGGCACCGAATTTCAGAAATGTGGCAAATCCCTGTGTTTTTGGACCCTGACCCCGCGGATCTGCGTGAGGGGTGGCACCGAATTTCAGAAATGTGGCAAATCCCATGTGTTTTTGGACCCTGACCCCGCGGATCTGCGTGAGGGGTGTCGATTTCGAGCCCCCCCAGCAATTCAGACAACGCGCCCAGGGGACGCTAAAAAGCCACTTTGGGCCTCCCCCCCCCTCGCGCGGTCAATCAACTAGTTACAGTAACCAGCAATAAGTCAACTAGTTACAGTAACCAGCAAGAAGCAGAACTGTAACACTGGAAACTACAACCTACGACTGGTACAGGAAACTGCGAATCACGGGCCTACAGCCTTCTGGCCCCACAAGGGGGCTGGCGGGTATATATATATATATATATATATATATATATGTGTCTGTGTCTGTGTCTGTGTCTGTGTCTGTGTCTGTGTGTCTGTGTGTCTGTGTGTGTGTGTGTGTGTGTGTGTGTGTGTGTGTGTGTGTGTGTGTGTGTGTGTGTGTGTGTGTGTGTGTGTGTGTGTGTGTGTGTGTGTGTGTGTGTGTGTGTGTGTGGGGGGGTATTCCGTCGCATGGTGATGTACAGTGCCACGGCGTGGCCATGATACGTAAGTGGTGTGCTGTGTTTGGCAGGTACGCGCGCACGTGTGCTTGCAGGTGTGCGTGCATGTACGTGTTCGCCCAGGCATGCCACGGAACGAGGGGGAGGAAGCCAGAGGGGGAAGCGGAGCACGACAGGAAGGGACGAGGAGGAGGAGCAGAAGGAGGATGAGGAGGAGGAGGGTGATTGGGGAGAGGAGGGCGGCCCGGCAGGGGAGGAGGGCGAGGGCGACGCGGAGCAGAGTCAGGCGATCGCAAACATGGATTAAGGGGTCGTGGATTAGCGACGGGCCCCGTTTTCAGGGGGAATCGCGGATTGCTGCCGCCGAGCGAGGCGGCACCGGCCGCATTCTGGGGAGGGCACCTCCCCCGATCCATGGATTTGGCAACCGCGCGCCAAATCCATGGATCGCTTCGGATGCAACTCCTGGGAGGTCAAATTCTGTTTTCGCCCTGGTCCGAAATCCGGCCTAATCCAGCTTGATCCCGCCTCATGCGGCTTAGTCCCGCTTAATCCCGCTTCATCCGGCTTCACCCTGCTTGGTCCGAGGCCCACTCCGGCGTAACAGCTCCCAAATGGGGCTTGATCCTCCTCAATCTTTCCGACGAAAGCCTCCCAGCTTTTCTCAGAAGGCGGCGGGACTCCTCAGAAGCCCTCGCGCCCTCTGAGGAGTCTTCTGCGTCTTCGGGGAAGGCTCAGGGAGCTTCTCAGAAGTCTGGGGGACCTCCGGGCCTTCTGAGAAGGCCCGCCCCTTCTCACTCCCCCCCCGCGCTCGCCGCCCACTGGAGCTCCGCCGGAGTTCTGCAGTCTATGACTGCAGGCCTTCCAGACGGGGCCAGAGCAGGTGGGGTCTGAGGATCGCCCCGCATCGCCGATGCGTCGACGACGCGGCTCGATGTGGAGCCAGAATGTCTCCACGCCGATGGCGCTGACATCGCCGGCGTCGACGATCCATCGCCGATGCATCATGGCCGATACATCGCCGATGCATTGGCGATGCGGCGCGATCCTCCGACCCCGTCTACTCGGACCCCATCTAGGGGGTCTCTAATGGACGTCCCTTAATGGGAGCCCTGAGCGGCGACACGGAAGTCGGTCTGTTCTGCAGGTGGGCCGCACTTGGACCGCATCTGGCCCTCCTTCCTGCTCATCCTCGCCATTCTTGTGCCCCCTCTCTCAAGGGCATAAAAGACGCCCCTACCCTGGTTTACGAGGCGCTGTGCGCTGAAGCTCCGGTGGGCTGACAGGGTAAACCCTGCGTGATGTGCCGCGTCCTGGCGGCTCTCTAGGCTTTGGGGTTCCCAGGAGGTTTACAGACCACGCTGTGGGGAGGAGGTTTTTTCATCAGTCAACTCTCCCTTGTAAAGGCGCGAATCTGGTTCATCTCCGGTCCAAATCGGGTCCTACATGGGTTCCAAGTCCAATCCAAATCAGGCCCAGATCGGACAGCGCCAGGGACCACATTGGATCCCATGGAGCGGACACCGAAGGTTCGAGGTTCGGGGTTGGAGGTTTTCAATTGTTTTCGTCGGCTCTCGGCGGCTTGCCAGCCTCTGGATGCTGCCCAGCGCTTGCGCATCGCCGAGAGCGTTTCTGGGGGGACAGGATCGTCTCGAACGGCCGCCGGAGGCCCGAGTTACGACCCCAAAATCGTTCAGTGGCAACATGAGGGGGGAGGAGGAAAGGCTCCGGGAGGGGGATGCGTCCACTGCCCATCGCTCATGCATCGCCGATGAGGGCACGAGCAGGGCCGTGCGGTTTCGCTATCGGGGGCCTATCGCCGATCCATCGGCGATGCACCGCCGTTTCCAGCTCGATGTTTCTCCTCCTGAGCTGGTCCCGCCCTCACGTTCCCCCTCACCATCGCCATGCAGATCCTCGTGCGCCCCGTCTCCGGGGGGAGGGGCGACGCAGCGGGGAGGAGGATGAGAGCTTCGATGTTGTTTCGGTTCGAGGCGGCCCTGGCTCCAGACGATATGTGGCCCATGTTCCTCTTATATGGTAGACGCCTGGCGAAGTAGCTCGTCAGGTGATTGTTCCTTCGCAGAGGCCTTTCAGAAGCGTGGAAGAAACCAGCGGAGCGCAGCGTTGCAGTTCTTCCGAGAGGTTGCTCTGTCCAGCCCAGGCCGCTGCACTGCGAGCATCAGCGCGTGCGGGAAAAGCAGGCAGTGGCAGCGGGCGCTGCTGCTCCTCAGGGGACTGGTCGAAGGGAAGCTGGAGTCCAGCGTCATCGCGGCTATCTCCTCGGGCGCCGTGCGTGCCGGACGCCCCGATCCCCGGGCGGCGCCCGCCCCGGCAGCTCCGCCCGGGGAGCGACGGTGAGCCAGGCGCCTGGAAGCCTCCACTTGGCGGCCTCCCCGCGCAGGGCTCGCCCCTGGCAGCACCTCAGCCCAGATGGCTCTCAGGATTCGTTTCCCCAAGGGCGCTAGGACGGAACAGATCGAAAGGTACCCCGCCCGCAGATCGGCCCTCGAGTCAATTCGCCCCAGCGGATGGGCGGAGAGCATCGAAAGCAGACAAAGGGTGCGAAGTGACACCCTCGTTGACCAACCCTACGCCTGTGGAGTGACTCCCGAGTTAACGCGCGCGCACCACCCAGTTTGCATCCCACCTCGTGCTCGAAGCACATATCCGTTTCCACGGCGGGCCGGGCCCCTGGGCCGCGACCCAGCGGAAATTGGGCGTTTTTCCGCGGATGCCCCACGCGGAACGTACCCGTGCGACCGCACATCCGCGGAGATCGCGCCCCGAAATCCAGACCGGGAGGACGCGGATGTGGACACGTTCGCTGCTCGTGGCACTGACTCTCGAGGTAGTTCGCACCGACGAGGGTGCCAGCACGGAGCCCGCTCCCGACGCGCGCGCCCGAGGCAGCCCTCCCCCCGACGGGGCCCTGGAGCGCCCCCCTGGGGAGTCCCACGACGAGCCCCGCGAAGGCCCGCGAGGGTCACGTGGAGGGCGTCGCGACGGCCCACGAGGTCCCAAGAGAGTCCCAAGACAAGACGGCTCCAAAAGGCCCCAAGATGCCCCTAACACAAGACTCAGAGGAGGACAAGGTACCGATGCTTCTACCTTTGCCTCGCTTCCGCCCCGTCGGGCTTCCTGGGAGGTTATCAACACCATGTCTGGGTTCGCATCGAGTTCCTGGTCAGAACGCACCACGGGAGAGGTCTGGGGAGTAGCGGTATGGGTACTGGTTGCTTTCTTAAAGCACGCCCCCCCGTATCCAGCAGCTTGAACGCAGCAGCAGCCACGATCAGCCAGCAGCAGGAGCCAGCGGCAGAGAGCAGCGGCAGTGATCTGCAGCGGGAGCAAGCATTCCCAGCAGCAGCAGCAGCAGCAGCAGCAGCAGCAGTGAGCGGCAGCAGCAGCAGGCATGCGCGCAGTCGCGCCGCCAGCAGCAGGGCACAGAACGCAGCAACAGGCCAGCAGCAACAATCAGCATCAAGTCGTATACAGCGGCAGCAACCAATCGTAGCCGGAAACACTCAGCAGCAGCAGCAGCAGCAGCAGCAGTAAGTCGCAGCAGCCAGTATAGATCACGAGCATGTGGTAGTGAGCGGGCAAGCAAGCAGCGAAGAAAGGAAGCAATTGATAAAGCACTTGGCAGCAAGAAAGCCGCGGCAGCGCACACTGATAGCACAGTACGAACCAGCGGCATCCCGCAGCAAGCAGGAGCATCCGGCAGCACGCAGGCATCATCGGCAACAGGCGGGGAACAAAAGAGGCTTGCAGCGGGCAGCACCGACCAGCACTTGGCGGCAAGAAGCGTCAGCGAGTGGGCGAGCAGGCGATGAAACAAGAGACCAGGCCAGCAACATGCAGGCAAGTCAAAAATCAAAGAGGGGAGAGAGCTCTCTGCCCTGCGCTCCGACAACCATGCGCGCAGGAACGCCCGCAAGCAGGCAAGGCAAAGCGGCACGCCATCTCATCCCTTGTTTTCGAGCAAGCTTGCGTGGGCGTAGTAAGTCCACGGGCCAGTCCTTCTCAGCTACAACGCTGGGATCAGTTCGTGTGAGAAAGGTGATCAGTGGCGGCATGCTCTGGCATTGTTGAGCGCGATGCGGGACGAGAGATTGGAGCCAGACGTCATCAGCTTCAGCGCTGGGATCCGCGCGTGCGGGAAAGGCGAGCAGTGGCAGCGGGCGTTGGCTCTTTTCGGCGAGCTATGGGATTCGAAGATGGAACCCGACGTCATCACCTACGGCACAGTGATCAGCTCGTGTGGCAAGTGCGAGCAATGGCGGCTGGCCTTGGCGCTGCTCGGTGAGATGGCGGCGGCGAGGGTAGAGCCAAACGTGGTGTCTTCCCTTCTACGAGGCTGGGACCAGCGCGTGTGGGAAAGGGTCGCTCTGGCATCGGGCCGCTCGGGCCCGAGGCCCAAGAGCCAAGAGGCCTCCCAGGAGAGGTCAAGAGAGCCTTGAAGAGGTGGTTACTGAAGGCTTCTCCCCCATGGGCCCCAAGACCCCTTCAACACGGTGTCCGATCCCCCCAAGACGGCCTACGAGGCTCCAGGCAGCAAAAATCGCGTAATTGCAGGCCCACGTTCTTTCGAAATCCAAGCTTTTGGACCCCCGATGGCCTTACGAGGTCTTCGCCAGCGTGAGGGGGCCGAACGGCCATTCACTGTCGTGAGGATTGGTATCGTCGTTGTTGTTGTTGTTGTTGTTGTTGTTGTTGTTGTTGTTGTTGTTGTTGTCGTTGTTGTATGTTGTTGTTGTGGTTGTTGTCGTTGTTGTTGCATGTTAATTTTGAAGCGATTATCATCGTTGGACCCCGCCCAAGCGCTTCGGTGCTCTCGCCTCGGCGCCAGCTACATTTTCATTGAAAATGATGCTTACGCTCGAGCGGTTTGGGGGGCGCCAAATACGGCCCCCCAACAACAACAACAACAACAACAACAACAATCATTCAAGTCTGGGGACACTCCGTTCTCACCAGTGCCAGGGTTTTCATAGGAGGCGGGCAATACCCCCACTTTGTGGGGGGGCCGGTTCAAGCTCTACCAAATTTCCAACGACTCTTCGCCACCACCCACACCCAGCTTCCCGCCCTATGACGTTCGGACACTTCACTTCGTGGCATGCGGACGACCGTGGCTACTATTCAGGGCCCCGCGGCCGACGACGACGGCGTGCGCGCGCGAAGAAAAAACGAATGTGTCCAATATGGTATTATTTGACAGGGATGATGGCCCTGGCATGCGCGCAACCGTTGTTGCAGAAGTTCGAAGCACGTGAAAAAGTTGCTCGCAAGAGCCCGTTTGACAGAAATGTTGAAAAAATATTGGGTTTCCTCAGAAATCCGCAAGAGCGCGCAAGATGAATTTTTGAAACTTTTTTTTTGAAAAACCATTGGGTTTTTCATGTTTTTATGTTAAAATCGCTACGAAAACTAAGGTTTTGGAAGGATTTCATCTTGCGCGCGCGAGTGTGCACTTCGTGTCATTTTTTCAAAGGATTCTTGAAGTTTGGTTATGTTAGAACAAGAAATTTCATTTTATAGTGTTTTTTGCAAGGGAAAGCGGGCGTCAACAAAACAACCGGATCCGGACACCCACGTTTTGCCTGAGACTCCCTCACGAAAATGATGAAAATGTGGCTGCGGCCTGGGCGCGGCGAGGGGGCGCGCACCAGGGGTGCCAACAATAATTATTCTTTAGAATAAATAATGTTCAACAACAACAACATCAACAACAACAGCAACAACAACAACCACAACGGCATTAGCAGCAACAACAACAACAACAGCAACAACAACAACGGTCCCGCGCCAGACTGCCTTCTTTTTGATCAGGGCCGGTGCTCGTGCTCGTCGCCGAAAGCCGCCGTCCCAACAAAACCAGCGCTCCCGCTCGAAACCTCCTCCCGTTTTACCTTGGACTGGCGCGCTACTTTTTCTTTCATCGGCGCCGCCCCCAGCAACAACAACGCTCCCGCTCGAGGCTTCCTCAATTTTTTACTCAAGGCGGTGCTCCTCCTCGCCGCCGAAAAAAACGCCGTCCCAACAACACCAACGCTCCCGCCTGAGACTTCCTCCCGTTTTACGCTAGATTGGCGCCCTACTATCTTTTAAATCGACGCTGCTCCCATCATGAACAACGCTCCCGCTCGAGACTGCCTCCCTTTTTCCTCAGGACGGTGTTGTTCCTCGCCGCGACAAACCCCGTCCAGACAAAACCACGGCTCCCGCTCGAGGTTTCTTCCTTTCTTGCTCAAGGCGGTGTTGCTCCTCGCCGCCGACAACCGCCGTCCCAACGAAACTAGCGTTCCCGCTCGAGACTTCGTTTTGTTTTACGCTGGGCTAGCGCCCTACTCTCTTCAGTATTGGCGCCGCTCCCAGCAACAACAGCGCCCTGCTCGAACCTTCCTCCATTCATACTCAGGGCCAGGTCCTTGCCTCGCCGCCGACAGCCCCCATCCCCACCAAGACAATCCTGTCGCTCGATACTTCCTTGTGCTTTACCCTTGGCTGGGGCTCCACTGGCGGTCTCGCATCGGCGCAGCAAGGCGCGGGCATGTGTTTTCGACGCGGGATATGTTGAAATTCCTCGGAGGAGGTGTTCGCAAGACCTCATAGGGGGGAGATCTGGGAATGGGAATAGCGGACCCCGCTATAGAATAATAATCCCTCATGGTGGGCATGGTTATCATGATGCATGCTCTGTCTGGAAACATCGCGCATGCGGGTAAAATGATTGAACTTTCACGGCTGAAAAAATTGTTGTTGATACCTCCCTCCGGTGCACGTTGTAGTTTTTTAATTGAAGTGCCCCTCCCAGCGCTAGCACTCTGTTTTTTATTAGGGGAAGTCTTCCTCCTCAAACTGTGCCCTTGGCCCCCGGTTTAGAACAACAACAGCTCCCGCTTGGTACATCCTCAATTTATTCCTGTCCCCCGCTCCCGCTTGAGACTTCCTCGCAATTGCCTCAAGAATGGCGCTCGCTGGAGACTTCCTCGCAATTTAGTCAGGCGCCGCGCTCTTGCCATTCAGGAATCGCGCGTTCGCTCAGGACTTCGTCAAGTTTAATTTGGCATCGCTCTCTCGCTGGAAACTTCGTGGCTCATCACGCAGAACTCACGATCGCTCCCGCCGCTGGGCCCGCCCGTCAGGGTCATGCCCTTCGTGCCCCATGCTCGCTCGCGCCCTGTGTGCCTCATTGCTGCCCTTCTTGGCCCCTCCCCTTGTGACCCAGTCGCTGCCTTTCGTGGCCCCGATGCTGCCCTCAGTGGCCCCCTCGCAGCTCTTTGTGACCCATATCTACACCCTTCGTGGCCCCCAGTCGCTCGTGCCCTCAGTGGCCCCATTGCTGCCCTTCGTGGCCCCGCTGCTGCCCTCAGTAGCCCCCTCGCTGCCCTTGTGGCACATAAATACGCCCTTCGTGGCCCCCAGTCGCTCGTGCCATCAGTGGCCCCATTGCTGCCCTTCGTGGCCCTAGTGTAGCCCCGTGTGCCCCCCCCCCGCTGCCCAATGTGGCCCCCTCTTTTGTGGCCCATCTGTTCGCCCTTCGTGGCCCCCAGTCGCTCGTGCCCTTAGTGGCCCCATTGCTGCCCTTCGGTGCCCCAGCATAGCTCTCTCCCTTTCCCAAATGTCGCTGTCTCTCTCTCGCTCTCTCTCTCTCTCTCTTTCTCTTTCTCTCTCTCTTTATCTCCTTTCTCACTCCTCTTGCTCTTTTAGGGGCTGCGCCCAATACACGTGGCAGGTCAGGAATCTGTACCCCCCAGAGGGAGTAAGATCGAAGACGAAGAGAGGGCGGGCATCGGGGGTTTGGGATATACGTGGTGAGGTACGCGCGAGCAGGTGAGAGCGAACAGTCTTAAACTGATTGTTCTTGTTGCTGCTGTTGGTGTTGTTGTTGTTGAATTCTCACTACTCAAAAATACTAGTTGTTGATCCCCCCTCCGGTGACCATTGTGTTGTTCAATTGAAGTGCTTCACCGGGGGCTCGCACATTGCCTTTTATGAAGGACAGCCACTAGGCTCAAACTGCGCCCCTGGCCCCCGGATTACAACAATAACAACAACCACAACAAGACTCTTAATATTGTTTGTTCTTATTCGATCGCGTACCACGCAACGCGTATATCCCAAACCCTCGATACCCGCCCTCGTTGTCTTCGACCATACCCCCTCGGGGGTATATCTTCCTTACGTGCCACACGCAGCCCCTAAAATTGGGGAAGGGTGGGCGGATGGGGGAATAGAAGAATGGACCACGAGAAAGGGCCTCTCGGAGCAAATCGCGAGGAAGCATTGAGCGGGGGCCTTTGTTATCGCGGCTGCGCCCCCACTATTTTGATTGAAATGCCAGGAAGTCTCCAGCGAGAACGCTGTTCGTGAGTTCGGGAACCTCTCTGGCCAGGGCCTCCCGGAGGAAATCGCAAGGAAATATCGAGCGGGAGCCTTGTCGTCGCGGCTGGGCATCCGCGACCTTGATTGACTTGCGAAGAAGTCTCATGCGAGAGCGCTGTTCCTGGGGCCTCAGCGCGCGTGGGCCTCTGTGGGCGCGCTTGGGGCCTCTGCGGGCTGCGGCCTCTGTGGGCGCGCGTGGGGCCTCTGTGGGCTGCGTCGGGGGCCTCAGTGGGCAGCGCGCTGGGGCCTCTGTGGGCGCGCTTGGGGCCTCTGTGGGCTGGGGCCTCTGTTGACGCCCTTGGGGCCTTTGTAAGCTGTGTCGGAGGGCTTCAGTGGGCAGCGCGCTGGGCCCTCTGTGGGCGCGTTTGGGGCCTCTTCTGTGGGCTTGGGCTTCTGTGGGCTGCGTCGGAGGGCCTCAGTGGGTAGCGCGCTGGAGCCTCTGTGGGCGCGCTTGGGGCCTCTGCTCGGGGCCTCTGTGGGCTGTTTCGGAAGGCCTTAATGGGCAGCGCGCGTGGGCCTCTGTGGGCGCGCTTGGGGCCTCTGCGGGCATGGGTCTCAGTGGGCGCGCGTGGGGCCTCAGTGGGCTGCATCGGGGGCCTCAGTGGGCAGCGCGCGGGGGCCTCTGTGGGCGCGCTCGGGGCCGCTGTGGGCTGGGGCCTCTGTGGGCGCCCTTGGGGCCTATGTGAGCTGTGTCGGGGGGGCTCCAGTGGGCAGCGCGCTGGGCCCTCTGTGGGCGCGCTCGGGGTCTCTGTAGGCTTGGACTTCTGCGAGGGCCTCAGTGGGTAGCGCTCTGGAGCCTCTGTGGGCGCGTTTGGGGCCTCTTCGGGCGCGCTTGGGGCCTCTGTGGGCGGCGTCGGGGGCCTCAGTGGGCAGCGCGCTGGGCCCTCTGTGGGCGCGCAAGGGCCTCTTCGGGCTGGGGCCTCTGTGGGCGTCCTTGGGGCCTCTGTGGGC